CTTTCCACAGAGACCAAAGTATACAGTACAAAGTTGAAAAACACAACAAATAAAAAAATTAATCATAAACAGTGAAAATCAACAAATTTTAACAAATGTTTTTATAACATCTGAATAAACTGAATACTGTTTAGTTTACAAATTGTTTGTAATTAAAAAATATGTTAAAGTTTAATGAATACAGTACTCAATAATGCAACTATTCTTGATTGCCCACCTTGGTTTGCAGTCTTGTTGGGTGATATGTCATGGTTGTTGCCTTGAAGAATAGAGAATTCTTGGCTTTCAAAACTTGACTCTAAACTGTTTTGAATATTTTTTTTTACCTAGTATAATTTACTTTTCTTCTCCATGAATACATTTTATCAGTCCTTTACTACAGTAGGTTAGCAGGCACCCTATTTTGTTTTATCTTGGTACACAGTAGTGAAAGGTCTGATGTTACCATTTACCATCATTTATGACTAAAAAGCGGCCAAAATATCTTATCTTATATTATATTTTTATTTTATTTATAAGAAAAATTTACATGCACATATGCTTCAAACAGCACATACTGTATAACTTCACAGCCTGTCAACATTGCAACTTTACTTGGGGTAGCTAAACATGGCTGGCAGGGAATAGATGGTCCACTGATGCTGCTCAGGGTACATTTTGTTGGATACTGTGCTGTCAGCACCGAAGATTTATAACAATTGTTGTGATGGATACTGGATTGGCATAAAATTTTTCTCTACTACAGTAGGTACTATTCTTTGTTCTACTTCAAGCACTTGTTGACAGTACATACTTTTTTAGCTTTTGTGAAAAATGTATAACCTGCTTACCTTCTACAGGGGCGGATCCAGAAATGTCCAAAAGGGAGGTCGGGAAGGGGGGCCGAAAGTTGGACCGATTGAGACAACAGTGTCGTAGGGGGTCCGGGGCATTCCCCCGCGAATTTTTTGTGTTCTAGATGCCCGAACATAACATTTGAGGCATTCTGGGCTATCATTTTTTTCTTTTTCTCTCTTTTTTTTACCTCCCAAAGGGGGGGGGGGGCGGCACCCCCCCCCCTAAATCTTCCCCTGTTCTATAATTTTCTTGTAATAATTTTTCTTTTAATGTAAATATACCTTTCACTTTGCTAACATTCTTGATGCCAACATTTGAGTAGAATTTGTATCAATGGGATATCAATCTTGCATCTTCCCAGATCTTCCTTATATCAATATTTATGTCATTAAACAGAAAGTTCTACTGATTAATCTCAGATAACAAAGTATAATACTGTACATACTCCAAGCATTGAAATCTATGTCCTTATTCATGCTATTTTTAGTATGCATTTCCTTATAGCTTATCACTAACAATGTTCCCCATAACCACAAAATCCACAATACCCATTTCACACATCAAAACTCTTACAAAAGGAAGTTGTTCTCTTATGACTGGATTTCTTGGATGGCTTATACAAATTTAAATTTCATCTTCTTTTTGAATATTAGGTCTGTATCTTGCATTGGCTGTGTCATGTCCCCTGATAAGCACACGGTCGATTAGCTCGAGTACCATGCATCCAAATGAAAAATAATTGGGGGTCCCGCCAAGTCAAAGGTGTCCACAGGGGGTATGCAAAAAATGTTGTGGTCCGCTAGATTATTAAAACAACTTTGTCATGATTCCATTATTTTTTCTTAATTGTCTTACAGCAGTGTGATCATGCCTTGACAATAATTTAATACCTTTGACAAGCATGACTTCGTTCACTGTTTTTAACTGGCATTATATTTTAATTCCAATATTATACTGGTGATCTGATAGAATCTTTTAAATTAGTTTTTATATATTCTTTATGTAAAGATGTTTAGCAGGAGAGCCACTTGATAGTGGCAATCTTCAGGTTACTAATGTACATCTTGTTTCCATGTTTTCTCTTCTATTCTTTTACCTAGATTTTAAATAAATTTTTTAAAACAGGACGGGGCCCTGAACTTGATGGGGGATAACAGAATATTACATTCAAATTTTGAGTCTGACAGCGTCATTTCCGGCCATCTAAGAGTGCCACAAACATACAAATTTCATACCTCAGCCCCATCCATGGTGGGACCAAGGTAGCGTAAATCCACTGTCTGTACCCCTCCCCTCCTGTCTATGTCAAATTCCAAGATCGAAGATGTCGTAATTTGGCGAATTATCTCAGACCTGCCAACTCAACCGATCCTGTCGGCCGTCACCCGATATTTAAACAAATCTCCAGTTCACCCGATCGAATGTAATTTTCACCTGATTTCACAGACCACCCCACCTCCCCAAAAATACTCCGATTTATGCATAATTTGATTGATTTGATCGTTCAATGTATTCACCACCTGCTCGCTTCGCGGTGCAATAAACAAGCAGCAATTTTCAATTCAAATGTCGCCACCAATGGCCAATGATTTGTAGTTACGTGACTTTTTTGGTATCTTGCATCATCTTTTCGTTAATTCTGGACACCTCCAGATTTTTGGTAAATCTCCAGATTTTTTTGAGATTCTTAAAAAAATCTCCAGATTTTCATGACCCAAGGGTTGGCAGGTCTGTTATCTTCTATCCATAATCTTGTTGGAGTGGAATATCAACCATGAGTCACTCTAAATTTTATGAAATAAAAATTAATGGGGGATTAAATTACCTTCAAATTTGGAGTCTGACAGTGGCATTTCCCACAATTCAGAAGTGCCATAGACATAAACAAATTTTGTACCTCAGCCCCAATTATGGTAGGGCTGAGATGGCTGAATTCCATGATTCACCACTGTTTCAATTTCGTGGCATATTATCTCCTATCTACTGTATAATCCTACCTTTGGGATATGGACAATGAGTAATATTTAGACATGGGGTCCGTGAAGGCTTTTGACATGTCCTGAGCGGTCCGCGAAGGCAAAAAGGTTGGGAACCACTGGTGTACACCACCAAGGAATTGCAGCACTTGGTTACATTTTTTGCACCTACAGTACATTATCTTTATAAGCAATTTGCTGCACAATTTTCGGTAATTCTATGTATTCTCCCCAATTAAAACTACTTTACAATGTGGACAATAGGAGTCAATGAGTGCAGCAGAAACTACTACATCAGAGTTTTTTGATATCTGAGGTTTAGCACAATACAGTTTCATAGTTTTCTATTGATGTCAGATCAGCCAACACCCACCTGTAGCTCCCCATGGGAAAACATGTCAAAGTACTGACACAAAGTTTAAGAATTCTCTAGCAGAAGTTTGCAGACAGTTGTGGACTAGTAATATGGATTGGTTGATGAGCTGGAATTTTCATGGTTTATCAAATTTGGTTTTTGAGATGATTAGTTACATGCTAATGCTATTGATATTCTTTTGAAGTCTGTGCTTGAACACTTCAAAGAATTGATGTTCAAGCATCTTTGGTAGAGTCCCTGTGCAATAGGGAATTGTCAGGAAGAGGTAATTGATGTTTATGATCCCTGCGGTCTTTTAGAGTTTGTGTACAGTAGTCTTGGATGTCCTGGTTTATCTTTCTACAGGATGCATCTTGCTTTATAAAAGATCAGATAAGTTTTTGAGGACTTTACCATTTTGATTTTTTGCCTTTTTATCAAATCAAGAGAAAAGTGTTTCTTCTATAAATATCCTTTGGTAAAATTGTTAAAGTTAAATTTGAAATGGAAAAAATGTTTGGTTGCTCGAGCATTTTATCATTACACCTTCAATGAAATCTCATGTTATTCAATGCTCCACTCCTTTAGGATCATAGATATATTTACAATTTGAAGAAATTAATATTTCATTTAATACTTCCTATTTTTTAGGGATTGAGACTATTTTAGCAATGCCATTATTAAAATGAAAAAAAAAAATCAGTTTTATAAACTCTGGCTTAAAAGGGAAATGGAATTGATTTCTTTCAGTCACTAGAAAAAAATTCTTTAAATCACAAATCAGAAGTGGTGTTGGTAGTCTGGATACTTACCAAGATAAACTGACAATTTGCAAGATTTGAACCCAGCATACTAGAATTACAGTAGAAGCCAAAGATAATAGGGAGGTTTCGCACGCGAACACGTACGGTTAGTGTGACGAATACGTCATCATTTTGACATCATACGCCGGATGCTATCTGCTAAACATGTGGACGATACGTATATCTCGCTCACTACACATAAGTGAAAAATGCGTAGGGAAATTTTGGATTTCTAGTAGAATCTTCGTTTATTTTTTCACATTTTACATAAGTGCAAAAAATAAATGGATCTTTGAATATGTACGTGTCATTTTTGTGACATTTGAAGGCAGCAAATTACGATAAGATACGTCTCATTTTGGGGTATCAAAATGTCGGTGCTTTGACCTTGTTGGTGTCGAGATTTTGTGTAGGCCTAGGCCTACTTGTAGCCAGGCACTTTTGGGTCATAAACAATAGTGCCTATCACAAAATAACCAACACTTCTGGGAACAAAGGAAGTATTTTTCGGCTACAATTTCCAAAACCTTACATATACTAATAAAACTTTGAGAAACATTATGAGAGAAGAGAGAGTATAGTAGGCCTAAAGTAAGGCCCTAGGCTACGATTGAATTGCGCTGTTATTGCGAAAAACACAGAATGGCTACGAACTGTTATAGAAAGCTAAACGTATGCGTACACGTATCCGTGCGAAACCTCTCTAATAACTACCATCAAGCTACATCCTCCTTGCCTTAATATCTACATTGTATCAACATCAGTGGGCGATAACTATAATTGCCAGTTAGCAAAATGTTCCTTTCTGCTGAAAATTGTTTGTAAAACTGCTGAACAATTTTTAATATGAAATTTTCTGTAGATAATTATTATTACATTTATTTAATGAATATTTCTTTGTAGTAGATAGCAACCAAAGATTGTTAGTATTAAGCACTATATAACATTACTACAATAATTTATAACAATATAAAAGGAAACAGATTCTCACAAAATTAATGGCAGAATACTATACTGAAAAACACTAACTTGGCATCCAACTTAGTAGGAGTTGATATACAGTACAGTAGTTACTGGTGGTGAAGAGTCAATGATAATATCACCCACACATATCATTCATTATTATTTCTAACCATGGCCTATTCAGCTATTCCTGCGAAAACTCTGCTTTGTCAGAGATTAGCACAACAAACTATGTCAATTGACGATTTGTTAGTGTGGTGTCTAGTTATTTACAGTGCCTACGCAATCAGCGTTTTTAGTTCCACCCTGCAATAAATTGGGCAATCCCATTCATAAAAGGGTACTTCTAAAGAATGGCTGTACAATAGACTTTCAAACGGCTGATTACTATGTAGCCTTTGAGAGTGACTCAGGTGAGAGATCAGCCGAGGATGACATCATCACAATTACTTTACATATGAACAGCGACTTCATATTCACATCAGTTTGTGCTTACCGTATGCATTCCAGTCAATATGGTATCTATTCTCCACTGAGACCCCAAGTTTTCACTAGAAATACTGTATCTAGTCAAAAAAATTGCCATCAACAGCAGGTTTGATGTACGATTTGACATGCAGATGGCAGAAGGTTTCATCCTAGTGGGGTCCAGGGTTGTTCCCTCAAGGAAATTTTTTTCACAGATACCTGGAAATGCATTTCCGGAAATTTCAGGGACCATTTTATAAGAACTAGCTGTTCAATGTTTTTGCATTATACTTATCTTAAAAATGGTAGTAGCCAGTAAACAAAATTATTTTAGTTGATATTGTTGATAATGAATATTTAATCCTTTTTAAATTGGTTGAATTTAGTAACTCTAACTAAAATAAATATTGATACTTAATTTTCACTATAAACTTTTGGAGCATTCTTATAACTTTGCTCCACCTATGTTTAAAAATAGAATAAAGGGCAGTCCAACAAAAACTATTATTCCACTCAAACAGATCAAAATAAAGAGCGCAATGGAGTACAGTCGTGTGCGCTCAACAAAGCCTAATGATTGATAATAGCCAATCAGATACTTTGGCTAAGATACGCATGAATTGATCTATTGTAGCTCCCATTCTACTGTGTCTGTTGCAGTCTTATCTGGTACAGACAGGTTTTGAATACAACAAATTTTTACTGTCCTTGCATATGGTACTCTGCATTAATGAATTTCTAGTCTACTATAGAAGACTACTACTGTACAGTAGATTTATTGTATTAAAAAAAAAAATCATTTTGTTTAACGCGACTATCAGTCATTTACAGAAACCAAAATACTACAGAGAAAAGACAATTCATAAACAAATGATAAATGGGGAATCCCCATTTAGTTTTTCCATTTCATGCAAGCTTTGTTTAAACTGTTCAATATGTACTTCAAAAGTTAAAGCTAGCTCCAAAGGTAAACAAATGGTATGTTTGTACAAAGCATATTTTTTTAATTTTACAAAGTACCCTCTATTACTTTTACAACTTATTTTTGTCAATAAAACTTATAATTTTAAAGAATGTAATTATTTGAATTAAATATTTATACTGTATTTTGATTTTTTTTTTCTGGTTTTTCCTTTTAATTTTTTATTATTTCTTTTACATCCAACAACAAGTACCTTTCCAATTACAGGATTCTGTAGAACAATGAAACTCTATAGCATAGGGAAAGGTTATGGTTTGTATAGTCATGTGAAAAGGTCCTGCAGTTATAGGAATTGAACCAAAGATCCTGCCTTAAAAAACAAGCACCATAACCACTAACACCACTCCACTTGTTGTCATCATAATACAGTAATAATAATAATAATAATAATAATAATAATAATAATAATAATAATAATAATAAGTATGGAATTTATAGAGCGCATAATGCATAAAGCCTCTGTTATAGTTAGCGTTATCAGCTGTTTTATAGTATGTTTTTTTTTTACTGTATGTGCAATTATTATTAATAATGTACTTTAAATTGTATTTGTGAATTGCTTTTTTGAATTTGAATTTGTAACTGAACCTTATCATAGTACAGTAAAGTGTTATTTTAAATGGGTTTTTTTTATATGCAATTAGCTTTTTTTGAATATATTTAAATTGTAATTTTTGTAAAAATAATGGTGATATTAATTGTAGTTGTAGTAATAATAATTTTAATAATTTACTGTATAGGATTTTATATTGGTAGTTTCTATTTTTGTAATTAATCATCTCAATTCATTTTATTATGCTATGATGATTGAATGAAATAAAATATACAGCACCTGAAAAAGCTACAGTATACAGTATTGAGGGTGAATTAACTTAAACACTGTGATAAATATTTGTTCTGAATATTACTCTAATCAATTCTAATTTCACAATGTGTGCCATCTCTAATTCATGGGTTGACTGGTTGGGTTTAATATTACCAAATTTTTCTTGGTTGTCCCTAAATGATTTCCCCTCACTTTTCCCTTGTAGAATATTATTACAATTTACATGTGACCACTAGATCCTGTTACACGCCGCACAAACCTCACTATTGAGCTATCTGTGTCATAAAGCGAGTCAAATAGCCAAGCGGTTAAGGCAGGGTCACCACAACCTACACCCATAATATTGGAGCTGGTTAGCACGGCTCGCTCGCCTATGCTTCTGGAGGTGAAACAATCCTTCTCAGAATAGGACTATAAACCATAGGCCCTGTGTACACAATTGGTTCATGTGCACTATAAAGAACCCAGTATACATCAGTTGAGACGCGTAGGGGGTTACCCCAATGTACTGGTCAATATAGCCCCTATTGTCAGGGGCGGATCCAGAGATGTCCAAAAGGTCAGGCCGAAAGGGGGGGTTGAAATTTGGGCCGATCGAGACAACAATGTCTTACAGGGTCCAGGGGCATGCCCCCGCGAAATTTTTGTGTTCTAGACGCCCGAAAATAATATTTGAGGCGTTCTGGTCTATAATTTTTTTCTTTTTTCTTTTTTTTACCTCCCAAAAGGGAGGACCGGGGCCGGGCCGGCTCCCCCCTAAATCTGCCCCTGATTGTGGACAGATGAGAGTAGCTGGTACCGGTTTACCGGTCAGCTCAGACACAAAGAGACCCTTAGGGGAGAAGAAAGTTACTATATGAGCCACTGTAGTCCACGCTTTAAGCACTTTGACATTCATGAAACAGCGCTATATATATGTTATGTATGTATAGTATTAATATTATAATTTATAAGCCCGATAGAAATACTAAAGATGAGGTCAAACAACTGATGTGACTTTTTTTTTTTTAAAGCTCTGTTGATATTAACCACTTCACCTACAATCTTTCTAGTAAATGAATTCACCAAAGGTGAAATAAAATTACAATACATCCATAATTTGAAAATATTTTTTAACAGGAGGTAAATAATAATTGAAACAAATTGAAAACAAAGAAGATGAATCTTTGTAATGTATTCTTCCTTTATGTTTCCACATCTTTGACAACAATCTTTTAGTTGTCATTATTTTTATTTTCCATTTTCTAAAAATTCCTATTGACTGTTGATTTATTTTACCGATGTTTCATATCGACTCAAATATTCTCACAAATTTACAGAATGGAATTTTATGATGCTCAAACAAAATCTTGTTTCATTCAGGAGTGTAAAATTGATCTTTAGTCTTGAGAAAACATGATCCTAAAAAAACATGCAAATGTAGGACCCAGGGATTGGTAGGCAACAATCTTCACAAATTTCTGCATACTTAAGCATATTTGTTTACTCTTAATAAAGTTACTTCTACTTTTTGCAACCACATGCTTGCTAGCAGAAACCTGTTTGTTACCATCCTATCAAGTGAGAAATATCCTCCTTATTGCATTTTAGGTGTTTGCATTCACAGAGCATCTGTACTGTAGGAAACTTCAATAAAATTACTCTACAATCATATTTTAATGAATTGTTTTATTAACTTACCCATCATGTTGATTGTGAATTTAATTATTATTGTATGTATTTTGTATGAATGAAATAAAAATTAATGGTACTTAGCAGTATACAATAAACTGAGATAACATTTAAAGTTATAGGTTACAATTCTAGTCAGGTGACAATGCAATGACAATAAGTCATATGACAATATTAAGTTGCCAAAATTCCTTGCGCCTGAGTCAGCGATACGTTCAGTTAAAGCAAGGAGGCTTTGAGGCAATTAATGCAGTTGCAATACAATATGGTAAATTCTATTAATATACATACATTTAATTAGTTACTTTTAAATACAGTGGCAGCACCAATGCAGGGTTAGAGGGAACAGACAAGGTTGGACTAGCATATAATTGTTTTAAAATCAATTAAAAATCAATTTCATTTTAATGATAACTGTAATTATTCAACCAATTATTATCAATCAAGGCCTTGTTCCATTTTATTGGATTAACTTTCTTTTTAACACCCAATCTTAATATCTCTAATTGCATTTTAATGAAATCATTTACTAACTTCAGTCCACCATGTGTAAAAATATGGTTTGCAACATACACTTAATGTTTTGGTGAGATTATGCTTACTGTCATCAGAAAAATGATGACGATCAGAATAACCTCTAAAACGTTGTGACAACAAACCAATGGATTTTCTCAGAACAATATTTTTACACATGGTTGAACAATAATAATATATTAATGTTTACTCACTAGGCAAACCTTTTTTAATTACAGTAATACTTTATATTCTAGTCCTCATTCAACATAAGTTTCTTTTATAATTTTTGATGTTTGCCACTGTTCAAAAAGCATATACTCAATAAAGTGATTTGATTTTAAACAGTGTAAGAAGCATTTACATTACTGTACCCCTCAGGCAAATGCTCAGTTTTAAACATTTTTTTTTTTATTAAATTAATCAGGAACTGTCCCATTAAACTAATAAATTTGTAGTTCCATTCCTTCTATCCTCAAGGAAATAAAGACGACATCGCTAGCAATGGACAGGGTTGTTAGCTGTTTTGTTTACGTTTTTACATCCAGACAATCTTCCTGTAACATTTTTTAACGAAAATAAAGAGCTTCATTATAAATTTTACAACCAGGGATCTACTCTGTAATCATAAAACGATTCCACAACAACATGAGAGTTCAGTATCTACTCATGTACAGTAACATTAATAAATCTTAACTGGAAAATATTCTATGAATTTGCATACATACAATTTATTAGATTGGTGTTTTTACACTAACAGCTACTTAGCATAAAAAAATATAAATATAAAAGGAGTGATATCACACATATTTCATAATAAAACAGGAACCATTCTATGTTGTGGAACCTGAGAATGAAATTAACATATGAAAGATGCGTATAATTCCGCTGAGTGGTTTGTTGGTTCATTTTGCTCTATGGTTGGTTGTATGGAGAATTGACATAAAGCTTGGTTTGCTCAGCGTTATTATGCCTTACTTTACTATTAGTCACCTGAATCAAGCTTAGGGATTGCCTCGGAAGTTCGCTATTTCCGATTTAAAAGCCCTGCCAACTGCATGCAGACACTCTAGCATTGTACTAGAGGAAACTACATTCACCCGGGCATTGCAGCTATTGTATTGTGAATTGTGAAATACCACTTTGGCTGAGAGACGCTGTTTAGACAAGTAAAAAAAAACTGTTGAAAAAAAAAAAATATGTTGAATAAGTTGTAATTTTGATGCCATGATATTTTGTTATCATAATCACACTCTCAAATTTAGCGCCACAGTAGTATAAAAATCATTTAAAAAAAATTATGCTTATTATATTATACATAAGTATATATTGCTTTTACTGTACTTGTTCTTGTCATGAAAAACTGCTGTTGCTGTGTATTAACTATAACAGAATATTAAACAAAGTAGTCTTTGTAGAAAATAATTCAGTAATATAGTACATTTGTCGTTAAAATGCACCCTTGACAATAGGTAAAGGACCACGATAAAAAATTAAAAAACAATTTTACTAAATAATTTCTAATACAATATAACTTATCATAATATTATCAAAATAATTTTGTCTATAATAATAATTGCATTGTACTGTAGGCCAAAACATCAACATTATCAATTCAATAGTGTCTATTAAATTGTGTTTGAGAAATGACTCATGTCATTGAATTTTCTGTACGTTATTTTAATCACAACTTTTGCTCAATGATTTTCTACTCAATTTGTATTTTAACAAGCTTTTCAAAGTGAAATTTCGCAATACGTTTTAAACAGTACATAAATTATTATAATTGATCATGATTAGTTATTCACAAAAAACGCTATTTTAAACAGGGCAATAAGCAATATCACTGAGATAAAATTGTTATAAAATTAATTTAATTTCATTATAAAATTGTATGTTATTCACATTATAATAATTATAATCATCAGAAAGTACTGAGCAGACTAGTACTGTACTACAACTTAATGTCAACAAACAACAATAACATTACGTTGCATAACATTATAAGCTGCGAGGTCTCATCACCATCGTAACATTATCTTTCTGAACTTGTGCTCTTCAATACAAAGCTAGACGCATTCTCCGTTTTACTCAATGTGAATAGCTAATCCTGGTCCTTCGAACCAATCTTATTAAACTTGAATTGAAAGCAAATCATTTGCGTAATCGTATGTGGCTGCTAACTTATGGTTTGGAATCATTTACTACTTCACTTTTAACAATCACTATGATTCAAGAAATATACTAAAGAAGACTTCAAAGCATCTCTTCCAAAATAATGTAGAAAACTTGGAATTTGTAAATTAATATATTTGTCATAAAAATATTAAATGTTTTCTTAATTATTAAAGTAGTGACACAATATGCTGTCCAATTTAGAAG